GGTATTATTCACACACAGCGATGCTATACGTTAACCACAATTGAGTTATTACTCACACACAGCGATGCTATACATTAACCACAATTGGGGTTAACGTATAGCATCGCTGTGTGTGAGTTGTTTTATAATTGGAACTTTCATGAAAGTTAAAAAAAAGTTTTAAATTTTATTTTAACTTTATGATCTTGATGTAATTGTAAAGTTTTTATAATTAAAAATGATGATCATTTATTATTAATTATAATAAGTAATAAATATTAAAGTATAGATAGTAAAAATGATACTAGTAGACTAATTTAGTCGTAGAAAATGAATTATTATTATAGTAAAAAATTAGGGTTATATACACCTATCGGGATTTATTATTTTTAACTCCATGATACAATTAAATTTATTATTTCAAATAGTTATAATTTAAAAAGTATATGTAGTAAAAAATAGATTAATATAAAAACATGTAGAAAGGCATGCCTACTATGATTGACAGATTTTGGACCAAAGGTCGACTAACAAACATTTACGATTTAGCCACCATAATACTAACTGCGAATTCGAATTAGACTAACCTACCATCAGGTTGAATATTAATATGTTAATTGATTAATAGAAAGATTTTTACAAGATAAATAGTTTGGATATCGTTTACTCGTTAACTTGTTACAATAATAAAAATATAATATGTATATTTATTTAATTATAATACAATACAATAATTATGCATCATTATTATCTAGCGCGAAGGACAATGAATTTGCGATTAATTTTTTTAATACATTTGAACCGCGGACACGCGACATAATTGTAAAGATGTACACACCAACCACTTATATATCGGTTAATGCTTTCTGTTTGCTGCCCGAAAAAAGCGGTACTCGAGAAAAGTATGCCCGACTCCTCAACGCTAAACTGACCGAAACGACCATGCTCAAACAACAGTTAATCTTATATATTATTGAACTAACAAAGAAAAAACAACCTGAACATTTAGCTATTATTGCATGGTAAGTACAAAATTTAAATTTTAAATATAACAAATTATCAATAAATTAATTTGATAATTATTGTATATTATATTGATTTATATTTAATGAAATTAAATTAACTAGTACAATAAGGCTATTCATCAACCAAGCGGCTGATTTACACGAAAGCAATAATGGTTTACGGGAAATGATTAAAGCACTTTTTTCGCGTATATACAATTTAGCCTTCAATGCGATGGAAAAAAATTTGAATATTAAGCCAGTTACAAAATGTGAAATACCGAAATCTTCAGGAAAACCATTGTCAAAGTCGATCACAATATCATTAGCTCGAGCTATCGATAAATACGTGAAAACTCTTTAAATTTTATTTAATTATATTAATATATATTTTTAATTAATAAAAACGTTATTTTAAATTAAATGTTTAAAATTAATATTAATTAATTTATAATTTTATTCATCTCACCTTAATTTGACACACAAGCACATACACAATCTTAATCACTATCATAAATCCTAATAGAATTAGCATCTACATACTTAATATGAGTCCATAGGCTCATTATTTGCACATACACTTAACATTGTCCATTGACATAGTCATACTTCATTAAATAACTTGTACTATTAATATAAACAAGGATAAACAGCGATGCTATACGTTGTAGTGCTCAAAAAATAGATAGTATTTGCATATTGCGTTTAAAAATTGTATTTTGAAAAATTTCTAATGTTGAACATGATTGTTGATATTTAGTTAGTATTAATAATAATTATCTTTATTATTCATCCTATTTTGTTTGCGTGTCCATAGACTTAGAATTACCCATGTTAGACCTATGTTATAGACTTAAGTTATAATCTCATAGAATGGTCAATAAAAGAAACACCAAATGAGTTGACACCTATTTTAAAATTTCACTCGCTAACCAGTTTAAATTATGTCGATGTAGAAAATGTCAATATTTTATGTTTTTTGACATTGGCTTCGGTATAAGAGGTCAATCAAGTTGACCATATCATACCAAAAACTCCCGCAGTTGACAATTAATTTGATATAGTATTTGAATTTCTAAACCTAATACTTTTCGAAATATTGTAGTTTACTTTTGTTAGGTCAATATTTGTACACATTGTATGCTCTCAATGTAGTTCACTGTTAATATTGCCGAGCCTGAGCTTAAATGATGTATAAGTGTCAACACAATCTTTGTTATTAGGTCCGACAAAAAAATCGCGCGCCTCGACAATCGTTATATCTCCCAAACGGAATGAGCTAGATCAATTCTGTAAACTGTAAAATGATGGTCCACATATCTAGTTTTTTGTATCAAACAATTATTAAAACCACGTGACTAGAACATAGAAATTTTTGGGTCATTTCGAAATGCTATGATTTTAGCCCAGTTGTAAGGGGGGTCGGAAGGGGGCGGGTATGGGGTTGAGTAGATGAGATGTGAATGTCTATGACATGATAGTTTCATAAACATCGAATAAGTATTCAGTCGTAGCGAACAATATATTTAAGAAATTTGGCCCAATATTTGGACAAAAATAGTCCAATTTTGACTTTTTTGTACTACATTTTTGTTGTTATAAAAGGTCGACTTCAGAACCATTTTTCCCCATAGACCTAATGTTAAGAAAATTGACAATTTCTTGTCATTGGCTAGACTAATCTGAATCAAACTTTGCTATTATTGACTATGACACCTCCTCTTCCAAATAGCATACCCGCCCCCTTCTGACCTCCCTTTTAACTGGGCTAAAACCATAGCATTTCGAAATGACCCAAAAATTTCTATGTTCTAGTCACGTGGTTTTAATAATTTTTTGATACAAAAAATAGATATGTGGACCATCATTTTACAGTTTACAGAATTGATCTAGCTCATTCCGTTTGGGAGATATAAAGATTGTCGAGGCGCGCGATTTTTTTGACTGACTGGATATCTATCAAAAACTATATAAAAGTCACTAAATATGATGTTTAATAAAAATCATTTTTATAGTTGTTTGCACATAATAAAAATTTGTTCATAATTAGTACTAATAATAAATTTTTCAAAATAAATTCCCGTTCTTACACTTTTGAATTTACCGTTGTTCCCCAATAAATTCCCTAATGGTAACAGGAATTTAATACATTTTCGAATAATAGATAACATTATAAACACTTTATATCAATAAATTATTAAATTTTAAAATTTAAGTCTATTTAAAATACGAAGTGAATTGAAATAAAATATGCCTTTGAGTAAAACGAATGGGACTACAGCTATTGATAGACAAAAGTTGAGTTCATTTTGCATTAATTTATTATAAAAAATGAATTATGCAATTATTGTTATTATGTGTGCTTATTATTAGCGCTAAATCTAATAAATATATTATTGTGATTTACATTGTACTATAGTAATCTCATATTGCGCTCATAATGAATTTGGTTAATTATAATTATTTAATTATAAATAAAGCCCAGCTTTACTAAACCCAGATGGTTGATTTAACCTTGTTATTGATTTCATATTACATTTTATCGTTATACCACCAATCACAACATTTCGATTATTTTATAGAAATACGATATGATACATCGTATGATGTATATCGAATGTGGTTTATTCAAACGCATAATTAATAACTTTATAATTACAAAAGTTTATTTCAATTTTACAAGGTGTACATAAATGCTTTAGCAAAGCTATTTAATAAGGATTAAAATATTGATCAAAAAAATGTGATAAAATATTTTAATCGATAAAATTTTAAGTCATTAAATATCTCAACATGTTAATTTAAATATACTATCTTTGAATTGGAATTAGTGTTGCCAAAAATAAGTTGCCTGTCTCTTGGAATCAGGGTCTGCGTATCGGCGGAAGTATGAATAGCTTTCTGGTTTGAGTTGTGGATAATACATTAATTAAATGGACATTTTTGCAACCAAGCAAATACACTTTTTGCTTTAAAAATTCTCAAACAGCTAATACTACATTGTTTCAATTAATAATTTTTGTTTTTATTATCTTTTAATTAACTAGCCAATAATAACTTACTTATAGCTTGTAATTTATTAGTTGTTATTACTGAGGATAGTTACCCAAAACTAATGCTTCTATTAGTACTATTAGAAGATATTTGTAGAGTATTACAACGAGTAGAGTTATTTATGGTAATATTGTTAAAAATCATATATAAAGATAAAATCTTTATTTATATGTAATTTCAATTTTGATCTTCTTATCTAATAATTACATGTATGTGAATACTTTTGATAATTTTGCTAACTCAATGACAGGTTAAGGAATACTTTGCAAAATCTATAGGAATCTCGGAGAAAATTCTTCTTAAAATTGAATTTATCACGGAATATATGAAAATGACATAACACCACTAATTAAAATTCTAAATATTATCAAGTTTTATCCAGATTATTACTCATCAAATATTGAATACAATAGTTTTCAATTTTTATATTTAATGAATTATTGAATGATATATTTGATTTTATTTTTAAATCTTTTTAATATACACCCTGTTTATACTCAGTCACTATTATGCATTAAATTTTAATGACTAAAATCACTATTTGTATCGTCTCTCATGAGAACACTTTAATTACAGAGTTTAATCAGTTTTTATCTCATATAATAAAAGTAAAAATAATAATGCATTTACAAACATGAATTCAACACAAAACGAAGAAATAGTGATATCTGGCGTTTCGGGTCGTTATCCTGGTATTGATTTTGATAACATTTATTTAATATTTAAATTATTTTTTAAAATTATAATAATTACGACAGAATCTGATTCAGTGGATGAGTTGAGTGACAATCTCTACAATCATATCGATATGATTACAGACGATGAGAGACGGTTCCCGAAGAGTAAGTTATTGTTTTAATTGTTTGACATTATTTAACACTATGTAGAATATAACTAACAAATAAGGAATGGCAAAGCATTTTTAATATTTTGGCATTATTTACAGATTCAATACGAGTCTATAGGATTAGCATTAGTACCCATGACAACAATAGACTAAGCATTGCTATAGATTAACATTACCTATAGACTTAATATTGTAAGTGGTGTAAGGCGGCCAATAGTATAATACTTATAATTTACATAATACAGATATGATAATTAGGGGCCGCCTTACACTAATGCATAGAGATAGCGGTGAGCACCGCATCTCTCTCTCGATCCCTACCTTCAGAGTACTGGAGGCCTCGAATGAATACTGTTGTAATAATACTGTTTGAATACTGAATACTATTTTCCTATAATACTGTTAAACTTAATATTAATTGTGAATTACTTTTAATACTGTTAATTATAATACTCAATAAATAGTTTTGCATTTAAATACTGTGTTTTCTAATACTGAGAAGTAATACTGAACAGAGAAGTATGTACAACAGTATGAGTGTGAGAGTGAGAGAATGAGTGTATGTGTGAAGTGCTCTCCGAGTGAAGCATCCAAGGGTTTGGCTTCTTTAGACGCTTACAATATTAATTCATAAGATTACCAGCACACATAGACTTAACATTACCGATAGACTTAGCACTACCCATGTAAATCCAATATCATTACCATAAGCTGGTATCTTATAGAAACCCATGTTAAACCTATGGGAGGATTCTTATGTTAGAATTTTAAGAATAGCCTTAAGTCATAGACTAAAGCTGTAATCCAATGTTACATCCCATAGGGTGAGGGCCGGGGTGGGGGAGGAGTAGCCGAACGATCCTATAAATAGGGTGACCAACTGTCCTCTATTTAGAGGACAGTCCTCTATTTGGCTATATATTGAATAATGTACCCTTATGATTTACTATAAAAACATAGGTTAAAATTTGTGTCCTCTATTTGTCATAAATTTTTATTGTATGTTTTTCCATTTGTCCTCTAAAACTCTTTGTAATGTCTTCTTTTTCTAAAATGGAAGTTGGTCACCCTACCTATAAACCACATTATTCATATTTTAATTGTTGTTATAAATAATTAACCTCATGAAAATATGTATATTTTAACTACAATTCATATATGAAAAATTAGGTTTATAAAATTGTTTGCCAACACCTTCTTCCACGGATCACGTGAACCAAGGAATACAAAATGCATGTTTTATCATTAAAACCGATATGTATCCACAAAAAGTAATTAGTCTTGTTAAATTATTTAAAGCTTAAGGTAATTACAGTATCATTAGGTTTACAATTTTTTAAAATATTCAAAAAAATATGATGCATGTTTTTAAAACATATTGTTTCAAACAATATATAAAACCTATAACAGAGAGCAAATAATATTTTGCTGTGTTTTATTAATAAAGTGTATAATCATAACATTTCATTGTAGGTAAATATAAGACTCTAAATAGTCATAATACAGATTTTAAAATTCAGCGCTGAATTCGAATCTGAAATCCAAAATATTCGATTTTGAATATTTTTCAAGTAATTCTACTTAGAATGTTTTTTATCGATAATTTTAAAGTGACGTAATTTATTAATATGATATATGGCTTCGATGTAGAATCAGACGCTGATTTAGAATTTTTGGTTTCAACTTTCTACATCAAATATTTTTAATGTTATTCAAATTTTAACATTTAAAAGTCAAATAGATCGAATATTATACATTTAATTTTAAACCCGATTTGATAATATTAATCAGCGTTAAAAACTACATCAAACTCATATATCATATTAATATATTACGTCACTTTAAAATTTTCAATACAAAACGTTCCAAGTCGAATAACTCAAAAAATATTTAAAATATAATATTTTGGATTTCAGATTCAAATTTAGCGCTGAATTCTATATTGATTCCATATATAAAACAAATATGTCACCCCGGGGTATTCCCGGGGTCGCGGGGAATTTAAGAAACATCCCTCATATTAGGCCACACTACACTCGATAGTAGTAAATAAAATATATTATTTGAACATCAAAAAGGTATTACCTACAGTGCACTCGTAGTGACGTGATGCTAATTATCAGTAAACAGTGCTTAGGCTTACAAAATAGCAAAAATAGTTACGAACCCTTCAAGTAGTTAAATACGGTTACAATAAACTGACTCCCAGTACATGATCGGATTACATCCCGTGTTTGGGCGTAATGTTATAAACCACAAACAATAGTTGCTATGCTTAAATGCAATTTTCTATATATAACAAATAGAGTTCAACGGATGTCCGATGTCGAGCGGAAAACTAAAAAATGTGGGCAAATTTGACGCTAACTTCTTTACGGTCAACGATTGGGAGGCAGACTATATGGACGCTCAGATCAGGGCTGCGCTCGAGACAGCATACGAGGCCATCGTTGATTCCGGTTTGTATTTAACGCTAACAACTAAGTTATTAATTACTTAAGTTAAAAATTTTTGCAATACATTATAACAATTTAAATTTAGTTAAAAATTTATAAAGTTTTTTACACCTAACGTTTATAACAAAGGCACAGTCCCGGAATCATTGAGTGGTACAAACACTGGGGTATTCATCGGAATTTGTTGGGAGGAACAATTGCTTGCATATCGAGACTACATACAACTGCCATCGTATAAAAATTTGGTGTCCCAAAAAGTGGCAAATAAATTCAATTTGAAGGGACCGACCTTTTCAGCGGACAGCGCTTGCAGTTCCAGTTTTGTGGCCCTAAACGAAGCCTATCTGGCTATCAAATACGGCCGATGCGACGCCGCCCTCTGCATTGGTGTCAACATATTGTTTAATCCCAATATTCAATATCGTTTTTTCAAATTTAATATGATATCACCGGACAGTAAGTGCATGTGTATGGACGAGAGGGCCAACGGCTACGCAAAAGGTGAAGCAGTGGTCACTGTATTAGTGCAGCGCAGGTCAAGAGCCAAACGAGTGTACGCAACAATAGTTAACATAGTATCAAATAATGATGGCTATAAAGTTGAGGGTATAACGTATCCAAGTTGGCACAGACAAAGTACAGTCATCGCCAAGACGTACGCCCAGTGCAATGTAAATCTGGCCGAAGTTGACTACGTGGAGGCCCATTGCACTGGCACTAAAGCCGGCGATCCCGTTGAGATAAAAGCAATTTACCATGCTATGGCTTTCACAAGTTTGTCTCGTTAAATTATTTAATTAAACAAAATTTTAAATTTGTTATTATAATTTCTAACTATTTCACATAAGTCAATAAAATATTGTAAACTGTTATTAAATCAAATGTTTATTTATAGACAAACGAGAAAAGCCTTTACTGATTGGGGCCTTAAAGTCCAACATCGGTCACACGGAGGCGGCGTCGGGTCTTTGCGCCGTTACTAAAGTAATCCTCGCCTTTGAGAACGAATTAATCCCAGCGAACCTACACTTCAATAAAGCCAACCCAGCGATCGAGTCCTTAATCGAAGGTCACATTCAGCCCATTAACGAGAATACCGTGTTTTCAGGCGATTTGGTCGGACTAAACAATTTTGGGTTCGGTGGCTCTAACACACACCTCATACTACGGTCGCCTAAGATTAAGGCACAGGTAGACAATGACCAGATAATTGACAGGTATCAACGTTTAGTACAGATGTGCGGACGCAGTCAAGGGGCTGTCGAATACTTCTTTGACAAACTGTTTGCAAGGCCTTCAAAAATCAATAAAGATTTACTGCATTTGATCAATGAATTGTCAAAGAGTTCGCCCTATGAGACGGGCACCGGGTGTCGGCCCATGAGATATCGTGGTTTTACGCTAATTAGCGTTAACTCCAGTGTCCATCCCGGACTATCTTCCACACCTATTCAGATTAACAAAGTGGCCAAAACGAGCCGACAATTGTGTTTTTTGTTTTCAGGAATTGGGTCTCAATTTCTAACGATTGACAAACAACTGATGAATTTTGATGTTATCTCAGATTCTATACACAAATCAGCAATTGTATTGCGAGACAAAGGGGTGGATCTGTTGACTAAACCAAATGTTGATTCAAACAATTGGGTGTTGCATACAATACTTTCTGCGGTCGCCATTCAGATGGCTCTGACAGATCAGTTACGGCATTTGGATCTTGAGACCGACCGTATTGTTGGCTACTCTTTCGGTGAGATTGTGTGCGCGTATGCGGACGGCTGTCTCACTGCCCAGGAAACTCTTTTGGTGGCCTATTATTGCGGGAAATTGATTAATGAAATGGCAATCAAAAAAGGTCTATATAACAAATTCAACCAACCAAACACCGATTATATTGGCCATAGTTTGAATCAGTATTGCAATGAAGTGCTGACCATTGGTATGGGCAAAAACTTTGACATCGAGATATTGGTTCAGACGTTAGATTCGGTGATCGGATTCGATCGTAAAAAGTCTTCCAAATGGATCTCTAATTCCAACAATTATATTTGTCATAATGTTAACAGCAAATACTTTGTCGATTGTTTACTATTGCCAATGATGTTAAAAAATACGTTCACTAATTGTTTGCCTAACGGGTCAGTGATTGTCGACTTGTCTCCGGATAATCTAATGGAAAATGAAATCATGAATTTAAATAAAAATTATACATACATTCCTATAATGAAAGAAATGGACGACAATTGCGATTCCTTATTGTTGACCGGTTTGGGCCGTCTCTATACACATGGCTTTAATGTTAGTATAGAAAAACTTTATCCTACAGTTGGGGGTCCGGTATCGACGGGCACTCGAATGCTGTCCCCATTCATCCAATGGGATCACACAAAATCCTACCGTGAAATCAAATTTCCTGATTATTTTAATTTCTTTAAAAATCGATCGGACGAGTCCTATACGATTGACTTTATGGTAAATATATCGGACGTTATGGTCCTATACTATTTAGTTATGATTATATAAAAATTATTAAATTAATATCAGAAAATGTGATTATTTTATTCACCGCAAATTTATTGTCAGGACGTGAATAACCAATACATTCTTGATCACTGTATTGATGGCAAAATCATATTCCCGGGCACCGGGTATCTGATGCTTGCGTGGCGATTATTGGCTTTACACAAAAAAATTTCGTTTAAAGAATTTCCAGTGGAGTTCCGTAACGTACAGCTACTACGGGTCACACCCGTGACGGCCGACAGGAAAGTAACATTTGCTGTGAATTTGGACAGAAGTACCGGACGTTTTCATATAATCGAAAGTGGATCAATTGTGGTGAGCGGTACTGTACGCGAGATTACAAGCGATAAACCGCTGCAATACATGTCTGTATTGAATGAAATACAATCGATTGCCGACACTAGTAATGAAACGCCTATTTGTTTGCAAAGAAAAGATGTGTACAAAATGTTGAGGATTCGGGGTTATAATTACGGCCCGAGTTTCTGCTGCATAACTGACGCCCACAAGATTCAAGACACATATTTGTCGGCCGGTATTGAGTGGCGCAAGAATTGGGTCACTTTTTGCGATTGTTTGTTACAGACATGTAATCTCATTACGCAATCAAAGCAATTGTTGGTTCCGGTGGCCATCGAAGAGCTCCGATGCGATCCAAAACAATTGTTTAGCACAACGGGTTTCGAAAGGCGGACCGTAATTGATCCACACCTGAATATAGTGGTGACGGCGGGACTAGAGATCCGTGGGGTGCGGGTCAGTCCTCTCCACAGGAATGTCAAGTCACAAAAGCCAACTCACATGAGTTATAAGTTCTTCGCGTTTGACGAGTACTTCAAATCTGGATTGGATAACAACATGACGTGTTCCTCATATGATGAGCCAAACTTCCTTCGCTCTCAATTCACAATATTTACCGAAAATCGCAGTGAATTTAGTGGTAATCGCGTGAATATTCTGGAAGTAAATGAGAGCACAGCTCCAATGTATAGCACAATAATGACGGCAATGGATATATTAAAGTATAGTCTCGAAGTTAACATTGTATTGATTGGCCGTACGATTGGTCTCAGAATAGAAGACAAAAACTGCTACACAAATACTTACACTCTCAACGATTCATGTCTGGGATCTGATGTAAGTGATAACAGTATTGATCTGATTGTCTATAAAGATCAAAGTCTATGTAATTTCACTGCAAATGAGACCCAAAACGAAGACAACAATACATTATTTTTTAGTTTTTGGCAAAAACTCACTGAAAATGGTTTCCTATTAATTGTATTGAACGTCGGGAAGGATGAAGTGGTGAAGACTGTGGCCAAAAATATTGGGTTTTGTCTGATTTCTTATAAGAGTGACTGTTTCTCCGTTCAATCACTTTTGTTTCGAAAGATAATTATTGAACCGTTGATTGAAAGACAGATATTCTTCAAATTTACCAACGATTACAGTCATTGGTTAAACAGATTTCAACGAGACTTCAGTGGCATCGGCGACAAACCAGTGGATCAAAATATATGGTTAGTGGCCAACGGGTCGGCTGAGGGTCTGTTGGGATTCATGAAATGCATACAAAAAGAACCGAATGGACATCGCGTCCGATGTCTGCAGATAATGGACACAAATAACGACACTCGAAAGCCAGTGGTATTGGACAAAACAAACGCCGTATTACACGGTATTATTAAAAATAATTTGACGATAAATGTGTTAAAAGATGGTAAAGTCGGTCATTACGTACTTAATGAGCTGCCTGGGGAGCGCAAGACTGTGGACAGTAAACACTGTTTTCTCAATCTGCAAAACAGAGGCGACTTGTCGTCGTTTCAATGGTTTGAATGTCAACACAAGTATTGGCCGCTAAACCAAAAAATTGGCGAAAAGTTGGTTCACATCTACTATTCGGCCCTCAATTTTAAAGACATAATGTTAGCCACGGGTCAGTCAATCGGTTCACAATTACCTCATCTAATACTGAATAATAAATAATTTTTGCTATATTTTAGGTCGACTTCAATTGAAAGCGCCGGACGGAGAGAATGAATGCCTGATTGGATCAGAATTTGCGGGACGGGATGAGAACATGAATCGAGTGATGGGAATGATATTATCGAAAGCATTGGCCACCACGTGTCTGGTCAAAGACATACATTTTTTATGGCCGATTCCCGATTACTGGTCGATGGAAGAGGCGGCTACTGTTCCCTGCGTTTTCGGCACAGCATATTATGCGCTCATAATTAGGGGTAAATTACGGTCAAATGAAACAGTATTGATCCATTCGGGTAGCGGTGGTGTGGGTCAGGCGGCCATCAGAATATGCCTGAGTCTGAACTGTCGTCTATTGATAACCGTTGGCTCTGACGCCAAACGCAAGTTTCTTCAGGAGTTATTCCCGACGTTAGGCGACGAGTGTTTCAGCACATCCCGAGACGCAACTACTTTTAAGCGTCACGTTATGACCGAAACGGACGGCGCGGGCGTTGATGTGGTCCTCAACTCCCTGTCCGACGAAAAACTGTTTGCAAGTTTGGAATGTTTGGCCGCAAATGGACGCTTCCTTGAGATCGGAATATATGATTTCGTCAAAGACTCGCTTTTAAGTATAGTTTTAATTAAACAGTTTTTGATTTTTTAAATATATTAGAATTAATGAAACAATTATCAAACACCACTCCCTCTCTCTCTCTCTCACACACACAAACTCTCTCTCTCTCACAAACTCTCTCTCACACACACACTCTCTCTCTCTCTCTCTCTCTCTCTCTTTCCCTCTCTAGATGTGACGGATCTGTTGCGAAACAAAACATTTGAAGGCATACAATTTGATGCCTTACTTAAGGTTAATGACAGGACATCGCCGACAATGTTGAGGGATAGGCAGAGGATATTAGAACTAATAAACGAGGGCATCGGCTCCGGTGTTGTGCAGCCCCTGAACCGTACGATTTATGACCACAACCGGTGTGAAGAAGCTTTTCGTTTTATGGCCAGCGGTCGACACGTCGGCAAAGTTATCGTCAAAATCCGAGACGAAGAACTTTTCAAACAGATCCTACACTTCAATGCCATCAAAATGCCAGCCATTCCTCGAACGGTATTTTTTTCACACAAGACATATATTATTACCGGTGGTTTGGGAGGAATGGGTTTAGAGATCATTGATTGGATGGTCAATAGGGGAGCGCAGAGATTTGTGGTCACCTCGAGATCTGGTCCTAAACAGCCGTATCAATACTTGCAACTTAAATATTTTAAAGATACTGGCATTGAGATAGTTGTGTGGACTCAACCGCTTGGTTCCGAAAATGATACAAAAGATCTGTTCGTTGAGGCCATGAAATTGGGTCCAATCGGCGGTATATTTCACTTATCGCTAATTATAAGTGACGGCCTTTTAGAGAATCAGTCAATCGACTCGTTTAACAAAGTGTTTGAATCAAAATCTAAACCATTGGAACATTTGGATCAGTTGTCGCGACAAATGTGTCCAGTATTAGATCACTTTGTGGTGTTTTCATCGGCGGTCACATGGCTTGGAAGCGCCGGTCAAAGTAATTACGGTTTCACTAACGCTGTAATGGAGAGACTGTGCGAACAGAGAGAACGCGAGGGTTTGCCGGCTCTGGCCATCCAATGGGGTCTAGTCGGTGACGTCGGTTATGTGGCCGACAACATCACAACCGATGATTATACAATTGGCGTCACGCGATCGCAGCGCATGTACTCATGCCTACAGACGTTGGATCAATTGCTTGAGTCCGATGTCACCATCTGTACCAGTGTTGTTATCAGTGATAAGATAACAAGGATATCTGATTTGTTGGCCAATTGTAAAGATCTGTTGGCAGCAGTGTCTCGCATATTAGGCCACAAAGATTTAGAAAAGTTCGACGCAAAGACCAGTTTATCAGAACTGGGAATGGATTCACTGCTAAGCGTTGAGACAAAACAAGTGATCGAAAGGGACTTCGGGTTAGTTTTGTCCACTCAGGAGATCCAGAACTTGACAATTGAACGCATTCGACAAATCGGCTCACAGACTAAGGCTGCGGTCACTCGTCGCTCGACGGACACCGACCACAACATAACCGATACGTCTGTCGTGTTGGTCGACAACCGCGTGTTTCACATACCAATAGAACGAGTCGTTTATCTTAACGCTATAAAAGAGGGCCGAAAAGTGTTTTACTTACCGCCGACTGACGGCACTTACCATTTGTTTATTCCGGTGGCCACTCGTATGACACGACCGGTCATTGGACTCAATTGGACCGAAGAGTGTTTGTACTTCGGATCGATCGCTGATACGGCGCAACACTTTATAAACGTAATTCATAGCGAGTTTGTCAATCAATTGGACGACGGATTTGATTTGTGTGGCTATTCATATGGCGTGTTTGTGGCCTACGATATGTGTCTGGCATTACAACGGGCGGCCATTAGTGGTTTGGTGTTACCGCTTCCACCACCAAAGCTCATAGCGTTAGACATGTGTCCGGTACAGACTCGCAAAGATGTGGTGGTGTCTTTGGCCGATACACAACATATATTCAACGGCGACGAGAAGTTGGGTTTATTGGCTTCGTTTCTGATGGACAAGATATCGATTCAATCGCAAGAATTGATCGAAACGGTGACGGGTGTGGAGCGCAGCCAATGGGATCGAGTAGTGGCCGAGTTGTTGATTCAGCGCATCGGCGACCCGTGTTTGGCACTAAATGAGGTGATGTTTGCCGTGAAGTCACACGTCCACAAAATGCAACACATGATTCACTATTCCATCGGTGGTCACGATATGGACGGACACCGACTCAAAGGGGATGTATTACTGATACGGGCTGACCAACACATTGTTGGCAATGTTGCTGCTAAAAGTGAGTTCAGGCATACCGTACAACACGACTACGGTTTCGGTGAGGTATGTATCCATTCGCTAGATTTTCTATTAATCAGTCACTCAAACATATGAATAATAACATTACCATGAACTGAATAAAAATCCAAAAGATTATGATTAACATAAAATATTTGTTACTTATAAACTTGGTCTATTTACTCATGAATAAAAAAAAATAATAACAATATAATTTTAAAATATTTTTAACCAAACAGATAATTAGCGGCAAATGTATTGTTTACAAACTGGATGGCAATCACACAAAGTTTATGGCCAATTGTCCGTACCAAATTTCTAAATATATCGCTGATTATCTTAAATCAGATAATCATTGATTACATTAATTCTTTGACGATTCGGTTTATGTTATAATTTTTCAGAAATGTTAATATGTACTTATTTTTATAAATATACGTATGTATGTAAATTTTACTTTATATATGTATCTATTTAATAAGATATGACATTTCGGATTTTTATGACGTAAGATTACATTAATAAACAAAATTAAAATATTTATTATAATTATATTAATATTAAAATCAAGCATACGCATAGGTATAAAGTTATTTTACGACCATGTCGCGTCAATCAAGGTTGTTATTCTTACCATGAGTCGGTGTCTATTAAGACACATCCCGTGGCCATAGCAACTGCAGATACAACCAGTCGCCTTCTATCGTTTGTATTAACGAAGGCACTAAGACTACTCTCTCAGCTGAAATTAAATTGGAAAAACAAATCATGTAACAAATCCCTGTCTGGTATCGAAACCGGAACCTTAGGATCCACATTGATTTACACTAGTATTCTACCACTAGACCAACAAAGCTGACAATTAAAATTAATATATGTTAAGTTGTGTTTACACGCGATAATGGTGTATACTATACACGTAAAATCTATGTACAAAATTAGTGATTAAATCATTAATGAAGATGTGATTTTAGTATAACAAACATTTTACTTTTATTTAATAAAATAAATATTTAATACAACAATTATTAATTGAAGGATGAAGGGTACGAGTCGACGGGTTCCCCATACCCAACGGGTACGGGTGACGGAAATAAAAGTGCTGTCCCGTAAGGAAACGACCGACAATAGGGCCCGTTATATGAACTCGGCTCAAGCGGATGAGTATAAAGAGTCGAGCGATGAAATGTTTCATTTTGTTATTCTTATCGCCAATTATACGACGAGAAAAGAAAAACAAAATACAAAACTTTTCATTGAAGACGGCATTCATCTCAAGCCAAGCGGTCATTAGCTCATAGACTGGATCCTATTATTAAGAAACTATTTAATGTATGAATTTTTGAAATTGTTTTTTATTTGTAATATAATTTATAATATTTATATAATACAGAATTGGATGTTTACGAAAACAATTTCATTATAAAGGGGCAGTCAAGTAATCTTGCAGCTCGCGTTTTGGCCATTACTCCTAAAGTACAAGAGATAATTAGATTCTGTAAAATGGATATAATAGAGAATAATCGGGGAAATTTTTTGTATATTTTATAAATATATTTTGGTCACGTGGTATACAAAATATGGGACAATTCGGAAGGGTCATATTACAGGTCAAATTATAAAAGATGTGGACATGGTTTTAATGTATGATTTATAGAGGGAAAAAAGTGTATTATATAACGTAAAAATTATTAAAATCCAATTGCAGGTTTTCACATAGCAGCTTAACAAATTAGGCCAATTTTTGCATGTTAACCTGTGGCGATGAAAAATAATATTGTATTTTAATATAATTGATTATATTT